CATACACCACTCATCAATACACCACTCATGAATACACCACTCATCATACACCACTCATCATACACCAGGTAGCTCTAGTTTCAAGAGATCTAGCTCCAGTTAGCTCTAGTTTCAAGAGCCCTAGCTCCAGCGAGCCCTAGTTTCAATAGCTCTAGCTCCAGTTTACGTGGCACGCACAGCACTTTGTGAACCTCCATGTGCAGAGTTCGTGGCAGGCACAGCACTTTGTGAACCTCCATGTGCAGATTTCGTGGCAGGCGCAATGCAAAATGCGTTTTCGAGAGATAGCGGACGCACGAAATGCTGTGTTTTTCTATAGAAGGGGTGGCTCCGAAGCTGGCAAGTCAAGCTTTGCGGAACGCCGTGTGCGAGACGGTCTCGGGTCATTCTCGGATCATGGTCGGATCATGGGCGGAATCGTCCCTCCATTGTGAATAGAGATTTCACTTGTTTCTTGAAGCGCAGATGTCGTGGCAGGCACAGCACTTTGTGAACCTCCATGTGCAGATTTCGTGGCAGGCGCAGCACTTTGTGAACCTCCATGTGCAGAATTCGTGGCAGGCGCAGCACTTTGTGAACCGCCATGTGCAGAATTCGTGGCAGGCGCAGCACGTTGTGATTCTCCATGCGCAGATTTCGTGGCAGGCACAGCGCTTTGTGAAGCTCGAGGTGCAGATTTCGTAGCAGGCGCAGCACTTTGTGAACCTCCAGGTGCAGAGTTCGTGGCAGGCACAGCACTTTGTGAACCTCCATGTGCAGAGTTCGTGGCAGGCGCAAAGCAAAATGCGTTTTCAAGAGATAGCGGACGCACGAAACGCTGTGTTTTTCTATAGAAGGGGCGGCTCCGAAGCTTGGCAAGTCAAGCTTTGCGGAACACTGTGTGCGAGACGGTCTCAGGTCATTCTCGGATCATGGTCGGATCATTTTCGGAATCGTCCCTCATGGCGCGCAGATGTCGTGGCAGGCACAGCACTTTGTGAACCTCCATGTGCAGATTACGTGGCAGGCGCAGCGTGGCAAGCGCAGAACTTTGTGAACCTCCATGTGCAGATTTCGTGGCAGGCGCAGCACTTTGTGAACCTCCATGTGCAGATTTCGTAGCAGGCGCAGCACTTTGTGAACCTCCATGCGCAGATTTCGTGGCAGGCGCAGAACGTTGTGAACCTCCATGTGAGGGACGGTCAAAACTCCTTATTCTTCTTCAGCTAAAAAATGGACGTCATCGGTTTTGAGGTGGACCTTATCGTTTTACAGCGTTTTGAGTTCGTCGCATACTTATGACCATATACAGCGCTGGGGTTATCGGTTTTGAGGTGGACCTTATCGTTTTGCAGGGCTTTGTGCACAATCCTACCCCTCTTTACTAAAGTGGTCTTCGCATGTTTTGACCGTGGCTCATGTGCAGATTTCGTGGCAGGCACAGCACTTAGCGAAACTCCATGTGCACATTTCGTGGCAGGCGCAGCACTTTGTGAACCTCCATGCGCAGATTTCGTGGCAGGCGCAGCACTTTGTGAACCTCCATGTGCAGATTTCGTGGCAGGCGCAGCACTTTGTGAACCTCCATGCGCAGGTTTCGTGGCAGGCGCAGCACT